TTCAGACATGCCTGTAATCTATGTAATGGGTTAGCTTCATCTGGATTATAGACTTAGATTTGACTTAGATTTAAACCAGTCTAGTGCTGTTCCTTTAATTCCAACAAAATCTTCAAGTCTTTCTAAAGAATATAATGATCAACTGGATCAAATGCAGCACTGAGATCCAACAGGACGAGCACAGATACAAGTCCATTATCTGAGGCCATGAGAATATCATTAGTGACTTTCACCAGAGCTGTTTCAGTGCTATGATGACCCACAGTAGTGCTATTTCTGTGACTTTGTACAGTTTTATATATTTAAACAGACATTTTTTTAATATCACTCCATAATACTTCACTGATGTTTTAAATGCATATAATTTCCATATCTGTCCAGTTATATTTTATTGTTTCCATTTTTTTTCAAGTTCTTTACATGGTTCTTTTGACTAGAGAGCTCTGCACAAGAACTCCTGTGTCTGATCTGATAACCTATAAAACCTATAAAATCCACCTCTAAACAAGCACAGGTTGATTTTCTAATTAACATTCCTAGTTTCATATGAAGGTTAAAATATATGCAAGCAGTACATTGGGGGGGGGAGGTGGAAGTAAACATGGTTTATGGGGATTGTTTTATATGTTTCTCCACATGAGCAGATCAGGCAGACATGGAGAGCAATGAGCTGCAGGTGGAGCAGCACCCTTTGTATTCGGTACATCATTGGTCCCTGTTCTCCCTGAAGCCCATGAGCCAGGGCACACTCTCCAACCCTGCAGGTTCAGCTCGGTGCGTAGCACTGAGAACAGAGCGGCATTGTTTGACCAATCCTTCTAATTTTGTTGCCCAAACCGCTTTAAGGAGCCGATCAGGCCTGATTTAGCAGATTACTGGCTGCTTCCCTCTCTTTAGAAGGAAAACATGCCTCTGTGACGTCCAGAGGACCAGGGTCTGTTAGGGGGAGATGGACAAACTCTGAAGCTTCATTAGAGAAACACACCCAGTGTGGCCATCAAGTATAACTCGGAGTTAATTTTCTTCCGTCTCGTTTTTCTTCTTTTCCTGCTCAGGTGTAGGTTTTACAAATGTTTGACGTCCTCCATGTTTTCAATGAAGTGAGCTCTGCTTTAAAAGGGAATATTGCCGGCTCATAACATACACTCTGTTACTGGCTAAATGTAAAGGAGATTATCAGGTGCAGTGCAGCCTAACCTTCACAGAGCTGAGGCTGGACGTATGTGAGAACTAATCTAATCCCGGGGCTCTGGGGGTGTTTTGTTGTCGTGTTTGCGTCTACAGCTCTCTAAGCCTTCATTGAAATCCTAAAAATGTTGCAGTTTACCCTCTGCTGTGTGTCTGTATTTTGTGTTTTGACACCTTCCAGATTTTTATCTGTTTCTGCTTCTTAGTCTGAATTTAATAAGCTTTTCTCCAACAAGTGTTTAATCTGTTCACCCGTTATAGGGCACTCAGTGAAATACTTTAAAAATCTAAATTTAAAGCCAATAAAAAAGCCAATAGTGTCAGTGGAATCCAGGACCTTATTACTTTTGTAACATAAAAAAAATATATGGATATTTTGATAGAAAAAAATTAATGTCAGTGTAATAACAAGAAACACCAACTTCCCCGAATTTATCAAGAAAAATAACAAAAGTGCTTCTATAAGAAATTCATGAAAAACACTCTGAAAGAAACACATTTTTTTTGGTACCTTAGAGGCATTAATGCTGATATTTGCACTTACATTTTTAGTTTATAAACCTAAATATAATTGTTAACTAGGCTTTTTAATTTTTTAAC